CCGGCTGCTCCCCAGCCACCGGAGGAGGGTCCCACATGGCGCGCAGACCTCTCCTGCCGCCCGCTGCTCCCCTCAGCAGTGTACTTCGGTCCTTCTGCCTGCTCTGCTCCCCGCTCTGGCTCTGGTGAATTTTCTCACCATCCCGCACTTCTGACTGTACCCAGTGCATGTATAAATAAATAAATCTTAAAAAAAAAATCAGATACTGTACAAAAATGAACAATGTAAGAAAATAAATTTAATTATGAAAAAAAGGGGGGGGGGCGAAAGCAGGAGTGGGCAGAGGGAAAAATTGAGCTGCAGTGCAGACCCAATGACAGCCTCAGCCAACCCCACTAAGAGCACAGGACCTGAAACTGTCTTCAGAATTGTCCCCCATCTGGTATTGATTGCCAGGCTTTACCCACACATCATTTATATGGGTCACTCTGGCATATGCTTTGGCTAAAGTATAAAATAGTATATGCAGTTATCTTACTGTTGCAAAATAAAACAAAACAAAACAAAACAAAACAAAGCTCAAATATTAGTGGGTAAAAACAACAAATACTTATAACCTCACAGTTCGAGTGTATCAGGTATTTGGTAATATATGGTTGCAGTGACGCTGTGGTTGGGGTTGCAGTTGTGATTCTAATGCACCCAATGGATTTAGCTCTCATGTGGCTGCCAGTAACCACTTCCTTACCATGTGGGGGCCTCTCTCTAATCGTGTCCTCACAGCATTGCTGGTGGTGATCTGAGAAAGAACCAGAGCAAACCCAAGAAAAAAGGCAGTCTTTAAAAAAATCTAATCTCAATAGTGACATTGCTATTCAATAAAAGTGCATCAATAATCAATGATCCAGCCCACACTCAAGGAAAGATTACATAAAGGTGTGAATCTGGATAGGCAGGGATAATTGGAGCCACTTTAGACTGTTTACCATAATATATAAAATGCAGTTGCATGCAGTAACACAATTTTGTATCTTTTTTTTACTTTTCATCAATTTAAATATTTTGTTTTGTGGCATTATCTTCATTTAAATGTTTTTTTTTTTTTTAAGAGGCATGTATTTTTATTTATTTATTTGTTTATTTGTTTGTTTATACATGCACTGGGTACAGTCAGAAGCGCGGGAGGGTGAGAGAATTCACCAGAGCCAGAGCGGGGAGCAGAGCAGGCAGAAGGACCGAGGTACACTGCTGAAGGGGGGGAGCAGGAGGGGTCTGCGCGCCATGTGGGACCCTCCTCCGGTGGCCAGGGAGCAGCTGGGGATCGAACCGGTACCACAGAGGCTGCGGGGAGCTTCGCAACCCAGCGCTCAACCGCTGGGCCACCGGGGAGGCCCTTCATTTAAATGTTTTTTAAAAATATAAATGCAATATATTCCTGTAAAAACTTTCAAATGTCCAGATGGATATGTAAAATCCTTTTCCTTATGCTAGCTGAACTAATCACAATTGTTCTCTTGATATCTGCTCACTTTCCACACATACATAAGCTAATATATAGATACAGATACATATTATTGTTTACTTGCTTTATGTCCCTAATGTAGCTTGGAGTTCTTTCTACATCAGCAAGTTGAAATCTCAATCATTCTTTTATACACCTTCATAATATTTCATTTTATGATTATATCAAAACATTTTAAAGCAGTCCCCTATTGATGGATATTTACATTTTTTTAAAGATTTATTTATTTATGCATACAAGAACTGGGGCATAGGCCAGAGGTATAGAGGATTCACAGAGACAGAGTGGGGAACAGAACAGGCAGATTGACTGAAATACATTACAGAGGGGAGCAGGGGGTGAGACAGGAAAGGCCTGCTGCGCCATGGCTGGTGTTCGAACTCATGCTGCAGGGGCTGCAGATAGCTTCACAGTGCTGTGCTTGTGCCACCAGGGAGGCCCCTTAAATTTTTGTTTTGTCTCACTAACAATGTAAATGTACATTCTTATCTATATGTTCTCACAAATTCATGCTGGTAAATATTTGGGAAAAATTCTTTGGAAGTGAATTTGCTGCATCTAAAAAATATGGATTAAAATTTTGATACAGGAGTGGGCCTATCTCCCTAGATAATGGCCAACACTTGGTATTGGTAAACTTAAATTTGTTCAGGTCTAGCCAGGGACACCACTGCTTTATGGACATACCTCTACTGGAATATATTATGTCATTACTATAACTGATTTCTTATATATCTCTTTTATTTCACTATTAGCTTCTTGGGGACACAAACTGAATTGTATTTCTTTGTAGTCCCAGGCACAGAGTAGATGCTATGTGGTCCCAATAGATCTTTATCAGATTTTTTGGTCTATTTGTTTCCAAAAGTAGAATCAATCTATGCTACAATGGAACTAGTCTTATCAAACGTCCTAAAAAAGTTTTTTATACTATGTACTCATTTATTTCTGCCTGAATACTGATTTCCACACACACTGGGATTTTGGTAACAGGGATTGTAATGACTATGCTGGTGACATTTTAACAGCAATCATGAATGACAATATTAACATTAAAACAAAACACATACCTCTTGTCACCATTTTGGTTGCTAAGCTGCTTATTAAGGTCTCTCTCCTTGATAGCTTTAAGAGTGATGGGGTCATTTGTTTGGGCAACAATACAACCGACAATCTACATTAGGCAAAGTTTTATGTTGCAAAGAAAATCCACCTGTCCCTTTATACACATTAATGGCTCTAACCCTTTCATTACTCTTTACAAGTAACCATTGTTTATGTTCCTAGAAGTAATCTACTGGGGCCTCCCTGGTGGCGCAGGGTGTTAAGACACAACCTATAAAGCTATCCGTAGCAACTGCCACACGAGTTCTATCCCTGGCCAGGGAGCTACCCAATTGACGCAGCAGACCTCTCCTGACTCACCCTTTTCCCCTCAGCAGTGTATTTCAGTCGATCTGCCTATTCTGTTCCCCAATCTGTCTCTGGTGAATCCTCTCACCACCCACACCTCTGGCCTGCATCCAAGTTTTTGTATGCATAAATCTTTTTTTTTTTTTTTTTTTAAAGAGGTAATCTAAGGATTAAAACAGAATCACTAGGGGCCTCCCTGGTGGCCCAGGGGTAAAGTCTCAGCACTATCAAGTTATCGCCAGCCACTGAGTTTGATCCCTGGCCAGGGAGCTGATCCACATGGGAAGCAGACCTTTTCTGTCTAGCCTGCTGCTCCCCTCAGCAATGTATTTCAGTCAACAGGCATGTTTTGCTCTCCACTCTGTCTCTGGTGAATCGTCTGAGGCCCCACACCTTTGACCTGTACCCGTACTTGTATGCATAAATAAATAAACCTTTTTTAAAAAAAAGAATGCGCTTTTTTAAAAAAAAGAATACAAGCTGGTGGGCCTCCCCGGTGGCACAGCGGTTGAGTGCTGGGTTGCGAAGCTGCCCACAGCCTCTGCAGTGTTGGTTCAATCCCCGGCTGCTCCCCGGCCACTGGAGGAGGGTCCCGCATGGCGCGCAGACCTCTCCTGCCGCCCACTGCTCCCCTCAGCAGTGTACTTCGGTCCTTCTGCCTGCTCTGCTCCCCGCTCTGGCTCTGGTGAATTCTCTCACCCTCCCGCGCTTCTGATTTTCCTTCACAATCAAAAGAAATAAATTTTTCACTTGATTCACTTAGAATGGGGGCTTTTAATATTAGGATCAAAGACTTCCATGATGAAACTTCCTGAAACTGTCAGCAAAACTTGTAGTAGGCATTTTTCTATAATGATGGTCCTCAGGTAAGTCTCCAGCATTAGTTTAAGCACATTGAATAGTTGCTATGAAATAGGCTGAGTTTTACAGGTTTTGATTTCTCATAAACCTATGAGGTTAAAAATATTATTTCTTAAAAAGATTTATCTATGTGAGAAATGGGTTGTAGACCAGAGGTACGGGGGAGTGAGAGGATTCATGAAAGAAACAGTGGGAAGCAGAACAGGTGGATCTACTGAAATACACTGCTGAGGGAGCAGCAGGTGAGACAGGAGAGGTCTGCTACGCCATGTGCGTTAGCTTCCTGGCCAGGGGTCAAACTTATGCCACAGTGGCTGGCAATAACTTGATAGCGCTAAGACTTTAACCCCTGCACCACCAGGGAGGCCTAAAAATAAGTATAATTTTTAAGTTAATCTTACAGGTGAACAAACCATCTTAAAATTTTTCTAAGTAACTTTCCCAAAATTGAACAAGATCTGTCTGACCTGAAAAGAAAGTATCTAAACAACTCAGCAGTAATAATGCTTGTATACTGAGTATTACTAGGAAGATGTAAAGCTTTTTATTAATGCTTTTATTATAATCATTCACAATGAATTTGGGCATCATTCCTGATGGGGTTTAGGTTTTAAGATTTTTTGTACCTATATTCCATATATTCAACTTTCATAATTGTCCAAAAATTTTTTTTTTTTTTTTTAATTTTCTAGAGGCATGTCTTATTTATCTATTTGTTTGTTTGTTTGGTTTATACATGCACTGGGTACAGTCAGAAGCGCGGGAGGGTGAGAGAATTCACCAGAGCCAGAGTGGGGAGCAGAGCAGGCAGAAGGACCGAAGTACACTGCTGAGGGGAGCAGCGGGCGGCAGGAGAGGTCTGCACGCCATGTGGGACCCTCCTCCGGTGGCCGGGGAGCAGCCGGGGATCGCACCGGCGCCGCAGAGGCCGCGGGCAGCTTCGCAACCCAGCGCTCAACCGCTGCGCCACCTGGGAGGCCCCAATTGTCCAAAATTTTTACTTGAATCAACAGGGTATAGTAAAAATACCTCTAATACGTCTCTTGCCTTTTAGTCTCTACATTTGTAGTCTCAGTACCCTATTGTTAACTGTGTATTTCAGACTGCCTTCTTCACCCAAGGGTCCTTGGTTTGACTCTTTGTAAATGTTCTCGTTAACTCATTGTTTAAAACATTAATTCCTAGGAATATAAATCGGTGTAGTTACGATGGAATATGGTATGGAGTTCCTCAAAAAGAACTACCTCATATAATCAAATGACTCCATTTCTGGATATTTATTAAAGAAAACAAAAACACTAACTCAAAGATATATATACATCCCCTTGTTCACTACAGAATTATTGACAATAGCTAATACATAGAAACAATGCCCAAGGGATGAAGAAAATGTGTGTACACATATACAATGTAGTATTATTTAGCCATAAAAAAGAATGAAACCTTGCCATTTGTGATAACATGGATGGATCTCAAGGACTTTATACTAAATGAAGTATGTCAAGTAGACAAAAACAATTATCATATAATCTCATATATGGAATTGTAAAGAAAAAACAATGAACCTAAGTTCCTAGAGAACAGACTGATGGTTCCAACAGGTGGAGGGTAAGGTAGGAGTGGGTGAGAGATGGGTGAAGGGGGTCAAAGTAAAACTTAAACAGTTGTAAAATAAGTCATGGGGATGTAATGAACATGGCTGAGTATAGTTGGTAATACCATTTTACATATTTCAAAGTTACTGAGTGTAGATCTTAAAAGTTCTTATTACAAGAAATAAATTTCATAACTATGTAGGATGATAGATGTTAATTAGACTTATGGTAATCACTTCACGATATATACAAATATGTTGTATACCTGAAACTAATATAAGTCAATTACACTTCAGGGGGAAAAAAAACACAACTCCATCAGCCAGATTATTGTTCTCACCTACATGTATTTTTCTTCAATATGGAAGCTCTTCTTCAGGGTCTTCTTTCCCCTTAGCAATTATTAAATGTTTATGCTTATCATAAACTTAATATTCAGCCTTATATGATTCATAGATGCCCATGAATTTTCATATTAATGTAAAAACCAACACATTTATTGAGTACTACTGACCCCAAATAAGGTATTTACAGAATCACAAGTTTACATGTGCAGCCCAAGGATCCTGGACCAGTTTAGGCATATGTCACTTTCTCTCCATTTGAGTGCAATAACCTCTTACAAACAATCTTAAGTCTGCACATATTTGGTGTAGAGTTCTGTGTGAAAAACCAAACTGGGAGGATATGCCCCCTAAGTGCTAAGGGGTGAAGAAAGTAGAGAGGGCTAGGAAGTTTGCACTGAATTCAAAGACTTTCAGGAAATTTGTATTTCAGGCAACTGAGAATTTTAAGCAAAGTACTTTAAGCAATGCATACAACTTCAGGATATATCACAAAAGTGGATAAACTAAACAGTTCTGCAAAGGCTGTTATAGGTGACAAATTATGTACAATTTTTAAATATTGATGATATACTATTCTAAAAGCCTTATCCTCTATTATATGAGGAAAACTATATACTATAGATGGGCTGAGTCTGTAGTAAAAGCAGAAAGGAATAATGATTCTACAAGGATTCCAATAACAGATTTTGAAAAAAAATTAACAACTTTAGAATAAACCTGAATAAAATTTTCACTTTTTTGTCTTAATTGAAAATTACAAAAGCTATTACTTTTATCATCTATTACTGGAACAATTTAGTTAATGCTAGAGTTGGTGTTAATATAATGAATATGGAACAACAGTGAGACATAAATTATCTGTTGAGACTGCCCTCATTCCAAGGGTGTGTGTGTAATCTACTACACAAAGAAAAATGTCATATAAATCATCATGACATTATGTAAACAGATTCAAAAGAAAATAGAAAATATTTTATCCACTAAGGTTCTCTCGATAATAATTGTTAGAAGTAATACATACTGAATCAATATTAATGGAGTGAATTATATGTATCATTTAAAAAGAATGGACTTTGGAGACAGAGAAAATTAGGCTTGAGTCTGACTTTTTTGCTGTGTGGTCTTGGGCAAGCTACCTAATAAACTGGGCTTCAGTTTCTTCATTTCTGCAATGAAATAGTACTAGCTCACAGGGAAGTAGCAAGGATAAAACAAGATGATGCATGTAAAACCTCAGAGCTTAGCACACAGAAAATGCTGAATAACCATTAGCTATCATTATTATGATTGCTAGTTACAGGTGTCCAAGATGCAGATCTGATTTATGATTATATTTGTCTATTCATCTTAACAAAAATACTTTACCTTTTTTCTAGGTAATTTCTAATGGAAGCCCTTATTACATCCATTTTATAAACATAATGATCTTAGAAGAAATCACATTTTAAGTGTTTGTATTTGCCACAATATCAATGCTTTTACATGAATGAGCATGAGTATACACGTTTATTAAACCACTTAACAATGTTACACAGAATACATAAATGTGTGTTTGAAACCTCAAGGTTCTTTGATAATTGCAATATAGCGTTCAAAAAAACATTGTAGAACCTTAATATTACATCATTAGGATTATTTTTTAAAGAGATAAACCTCTGAGAGAGCACTCTAATATAATTGTCCATTAATTATTTGTAGTAAAACTGGGTTCCTAAAAGATGTTTCAGCATATGGATGGTTCCTCTACTGCCTGGGCACCCTCTGTAACAGCTTTGACACATTTGGCCATTGTCTGTGAGGCTCTGCTAATTGCATCTGAAAGATATTAAGAAAATGTGTGTTTTGATAATACAACTTTAAAAATATATGGTAAAACTTTCTCGTTGGCACATATTCAGGAACACGAAAAGCACTACAAAAACTATATGTAAATTCTTTTCAATCGATCAACAAATTAGTCTTATTACTTAAATAACTTTAATAAATACTCATAGAAATGATTTAATAACTATACACAACCACATGATGTGCTAGTATGTGGCCATTATAAATACTATAGAAAAACACTGAAGGCACAGAAAAGAAATTTGCACACACACAGTTACTGAAAAAAGGTTACCAAACAGTATGTATACTAAGATCTAAAAGCCATCGAAAGGCATACTATATGGTGAATTTTATAGTACATGAATAAAGCTGTCCCAAAAATACCCAGAGTAAATTAATATCCTCAATTTTTGTTTTAATAAATATATATGTGTAGATCACTGGAAGAAGAAATATAGTTATTTCTATATTTTACAAGAAGAAATATAGAAATAACTATGTTAAAAAATGTTAAAAATAAATATAGTTATTTCCCAGTGATAGTGTCTTTTCCTTGTTGTTTTGAGCTTAGATATGATTCTACAATGAGTATAACATTTGTTAATATAACTAAAAAAACCTATTACAGTCATAAATAAAAACTACCAAAAAATTCAAAACATACTATCTTTTAGAAAATTATTTAGTATCATCTATCAAGTACCTGATAACCTAAATATGTATCGAGACCTGTAGCAAACAAGCTTCAGTTAGTCTGCATTCCTCAAAAAAATTCCTAACAATTTACATGAGAAATATTGTTTAACATGTTTCACAATTAAGTGTTTTGGTTCTATTATAATTCCCAGAAAAACCTTCAGAGTTATTTGCCACTTAAAAAATCATCTCTGAACTGCAAGAGTCATCTTACATGCAATAGGAAAATTTTACATTTAGAATTTGTTAACTCTGCTTAGATTTTCAAACTCTGCTTGCATTTCAGAAATAAAAGAAATTAGATCAAAATCAGGAAATATGAATTACACTAGTTTTGGTATTTGAAAATCTACAAGGATTAAAATGAACAAATATTATTACTAACATGTTGGAATCATAATGTTAAATTAGATGATCTGATTCCTTGCCATCTTTCACATTTGGCATTCATGTTGACAATCACATACCTGTCATGTAGAAGTCTTTTATTGTTAGCTGAGGTGGAACAAGAGGATCAGCAAGAAGTTGCTGGTTCACTAGCTGCAAAAAAAGGAGAGAGATAACAGTACAGAAAACTAATTGTTTCATCAGAAGAAACACAATTATAAAAACTGCATATAGGCAAATTTTACCTTGGAGAGCTCAATTGCTTGCTGGAAATAATTAGCTCCTTCGACATCATCATATCGAACAAGATTAGGAGAGACTTCTTCCAATCTATTCCTTATTTGATCCAGAGTATCATATGGAAGAGTTATACCTGCAATCTATATCAGGTCCCAAAAACTGACATAAATTTTTAGTACTTAAAAAAAATTATTCAAAACATCTCTGCATTTCACGGTTGCATTTTCCTTGATCTTTAAAATCATTCTAATCTGTAACTAACATGTCAAACATCTCATTAGTAGAATCACTTAGAAAAAATACCTCAGAGAGAGCTCTTATAATTTTCCAATCTTCTCTTGCCAAGCCAGGAGGTGTGACTGCTACTTTAGTCTGCTGAGCTCTACCCTCAGTATTGACATAAGTAGCAGACTTCTCTGTGTAAGCAGCTCCTGGGAGAATAACATCAGCCATAGGTGCTCCAACATCACCATGATGTCCTATAAAAAGGATGGCAAATGGCAAACCACATTTTAGCCAAAAACTGGCCAGTTAGTTTACATGGACATAGTATACATATTTTTTAAATCTCATTTTTAAAACTAGAAGTTATTTTTAAATCTCATTTTTAAAATTCAAAGAACTGAATAAAAATTAAAGTCCAGCTTGCCCATAATTCAAGTCCCTTCCCAAGGAAAATTAATGTTACAGAATTCAGTATGCATATTCCCAGGTTAATTTTTTTTAAAGATTTATTTATGTATATAAGAATTGGGGAACAGGCCAGAGTGTGGGAGATGAGAGGATTCACCAAAGGATTCAGTGGGGAACGGAACAGACAGATTGACTGAAATACACTGTGGAGGGGAGCAGTAGGCAAGTCAGCACCACGCGGGTAGCTTCCTGGCTGGGGATTGAACTCGTGCTGCAGTGGCTGTGGATAGTTTCATAGGTTGCGTCTTAACCCCTTGCGCCACCAGGGAGGACCCTCCCAGGTTGTTTTTGCAAAAAACTAGTATGTATCATATCATCTTCTCACAACAGCTAACTACAGCTACACACACACACACACACACACACACACACACACACACACACACACTCATATATTATCTTCAAAATCAAGAGAAACTAACTTCCTCTTAATTATAAAGTGGAAAAGCAAACATGCATGCCAGTGAAATTTGGTAAAGTAGACTGAAATGGAGGAAAGAAATATGCAGAAAAGGAATGTGACAGTAATAATAATTATGGAGCATAAATGTAAAATCATAGATAATAGTATTCTGAGGGCCTTCCTGGTGGCACAGGGGTTAAAGACAGCACTACCAAACTATCTCCAGCCCCTACAACACAAGTTCAATCCCTGGCCGGCCAGGGAGCAACCCACATGGCGCAGATCTCTCCTGCCTCACCCACTGTTCCCCTCAGCAGTGTATTTCAGTCAATCCACCTGTTCTGCTCCCCACTATGTCTCTGGTGAATCCTCTCACTGCCCCCCTGTACCTCTGGCCTGTACCCCAGTTTTCATATGCATAAATAAGTAAATCTTTAAAAAAAAATAGTATTCTGAAAGACTATCACTCATTAATAACTGAGTAAAACTGGTGAAAGAAAAAAAAAGTTACATGAAAGTTTTAGAACAATATATGAGTTTGATCTTACTTGTGTATAAGTTTGATATATGCATAGCAAAATGTGTGAAACATGCACATCAAAACTGTCACCAATGATTATCTTAGGCAAGAATCAGGAAGTAGAAATTTAGGTAATACTTTATATAAACATGCAAGGATATTATAGACTCCATTTATTCTGGGAACTAGATTACATGTTTTATAAAGATAAAGAGTTCAAGAAAATGAGTCAAAGACAAAAAGCCAAAGGAATACTATCTTAAGCTTAACTCATTAAATGTTCTGTAACATAGAATACATGATTTTTAAACTTTCTACTATCTTTATATGGAAGTGCTTACCATTAATAATGCTGAATATTCTTCAGAAAGGTATATTTTAATGTTATGTAATACTTATTGTATAAATAAACCCATAACAATTCTTGTTACTGGGGTTATTTATGTTTCTTCCAATTTTTTGTTACTAAATAAACATCAGATAACAATGATTAACAGCAATATCATGTAACTAATAATAGTACCTATGATTTGGTTAAAAAAAAATACTGGTGTGTGAAATACTTGAATTTGTAAAACATTCATTCCACTAAATATACTGCCACAAAGCTGCTACTAGACACAACATTCTAGTCTCCAGTTTCTGATGTCACAGGTGCTACTTACCTTGATAAATAATGAAACAATCCTTTGGCAAATCCTGTCGAGTGATACAACCTCCATCTGCTCCCAGGAGAAACAGCACTTTAGGAGGATTCTTCCGAATTGCTTCCACCCCAGGTTTATAGCCAATATCCAAAGCAGCTACTTGGCTTGCAATCCTGTAAAACAATTATGGATTTCTAGTGTACTTACTGTGTTTTCATTATATAAAATTAAATGTATTCCTAGAATGATACCCACTCTCTTTTCTATTCAATATGGTGAAAGACCTTCCCTCATGGTTCTTTTTTTACCCATTTAAAATAGATGTTACGTTAACAAACAGCAGTCATTGACTATATTAAGAATGACAAAGGAAGAAGATTCTTAGGATACTGACTCATAATATTTAATGGGTTAAGTCTGGAAACTGATGAAAGCAACTGCCTTACAATGATTCTTATTCAATATAGTAAGATTTTTTAATAAAAGACATAAGTCAAATATAATGATTAGAGAACATCAGGTGATTTTGGAAACCAAAAGTGAGAAATTTAAACACCATTCATAAAACTCTAATTCAGAGAAAAGTATAATTAGTATATTACATTGGTGTATGTTCTTGTGGATTTTTTTTTATGAACATATGCTACTTGCATAGAAATCTTTTAAAGATGAGGTCTGGAATAACTAACACTTCCAATAACTGAACGTCTGGTCCAGTTCATTATTGTTACCTTTCTTTCTGGAAATAGTAGCAGCCATTCTAAAGATCTATTTGTATAAACTAGCTAGTCTTCTACCTACTTCTACCTACCCACTTTTGAAGGAAGATGGGCAGCTCAAAACATCTTCCACTAAATACTACTGCTCTGTCAAACCCTAGTGGATGACATCAAAAGAATAAAGTATTTATTTATTTAAAAAGATTTATTTATTTATGCATACAAGAGCGGGGGCACAGGCCAGAGATGCGGTGGGTGAGAGGATCCACCAGAGACAGAGTGGGGAACAGAGGAGGAAAACTGACTGAAATACACTGCTGAGGGGAGCAGCAGGCAAGACCTGAGAGGTCTGCCTTGCCACATGGGTTTCTCCCTAGCTGGCCGGGGATGGAACTTGTGCTGCAGAGGCTGCGGACAGCTTCACAGTGGAGCGCTCAACCAGCTGTGCCACTGGGGTGGCCCAGAATAAAATATTTTAGAAAGAATTTAACAAAAGAAGTGAAAAATTTGTAAAAAAAAAAAAAAAAAAAAAAAAAACCCAAAAAAAAACACTGAAGTTCACAGGTATCTTGTGCATTATGTATGATTAATGACTATCATCAATTTACATGCTAACAAGGAGGAAAGCTAAAAAATTATATATATTAAAGACATAAAGTAGCATTAAAATTTCTATTGATGAAGAATTTCTAATCAGGGGCCTCCCGGGTGGCACAGAGGTTTGAGCGCTGCACTGTGAAGCTGTCCGCAGCCTCTGCAGCATGGGTTCGATTCCCAGCCAGCCAGGGAGAAACCCGCATGGCGTGGCAGACCTCTCCTGCCTCACCTGCTGCTCCTTTCAGCAGTGTATTTGTCATCAGCCTATTCTGTTCTCCACTCTGTCTCTGGTGAATCCTCGCACACTCCAGCACATCTGGCCTGTACCCCAATTTTTGTATAAATAAATAAATCTTAAAAAAAAAAAAAAAAAGAATTTCCAATCACAAGAAGAAATTCTTATTTGTAATGAGAACTGACCAAAATAAGGATACACAAGCATATATAGTATGATTTTTAACTACACAACTAAAAAATTATTTACATAGGGAAAAGATGACCAGAAGAAAATACACTAAAATAGCAGTAGCAATTATCTACAGTTTGTGGAACACAGCTAGTTTCCATTTTCACATTATTTCTCCTTTTCCACTTTCCTAACATAAACTTGCATTATTTATACAGTCAAGAGAAAACTTCAGATGAATTCTCATTAACTGTCATTTTTATCATTTAATTAAAATCAGAGGATTTGTTGCAACCTTTGAACCAAGGTGATAGTAGTATGATACAGATTTTCAAGACTTTTTCCACACTTACTGCTATTTTGGATTATTTATTTATCATCTTGGATTCTTCTCACAAAGAGAGTAAAGGTTTTTATTTTACATCTGAATTATTGGTAAATCTAAATGTGAAGGGTGTAATAGGAATGCATATACGCAATTTTATAGTAATATAATTACTCAACACACCTATGAAGGATATTCATAACTTTCCAATCACCAGTAACACCACTACTCATCCGAACCTTGTGAGCAATGTTGGAAACAGCTGCAAGAATTGCTGCCCCATCATTTCTTTGGAGTGCAGAACTACCTAAAACCACCATTGGTTTTTTAGCTTCCTTTAGGATCTATTTAAAAAAAAAACACAAGAAAAATTTGATTAAAAGTACATTATAAGTAAACATAACCTAACCCAATCTGCATCTATGATTCATTGTCCCAAGTGTTAGTTCTAACCTGAACTAAACAGAGGCCATACACATACGGGTGCAGAGGCTCTAAGTGGTAGAGAGGCCACATAAAACTTTGACTTGCAAGTCAGTATACAGACACACAACCAGATTCAATCAAAAACATCTTACCAATGTGAACCGGTTAGATGAACATAAAAAAGGCTTTCTAAACGTAAGCACTGGGAATGAAAACCCTAGCCAAATAATCTTAGGTGAAAATGGCTATGGGCATATCCCAGAAAAACTGGGAAATGTCCCATAGAGATTCAAAAAGTAGGGTATAACAGGAGAAATCACGCCAAAGTATCACATCTGCTATGTCCTATCCACTCACCACGTCCCAGACAGGGAGGAGGAAGTAAGGAAAACAAAGGTCACTAGATCATAATGCAGAATACCCGAAACTATCAGATCTTCTCTTTTAAATGAGGGGCAGTGCATCTCAAGAGCAAAAGAAACTACAGATTTGGTAAACAGAAAAATAAGAAATAAAGCTATAGATTACATATTTCACTCTCCTCATTCTCTATATCATTCATCAATAAATGGCCCCAATCAAAGAATCAGTAAGAGAATTAAGATTAGAGACTATAAAAAGAGGAAGCCCTTCATCACATGATGAATTTCCCAAGAGAATGTGAGTTTAGAGAAACAGTTATTATAAGCGTCAAAGAAAATAAAAGTCAACACTCACTTTCTCATTTAAAGAGTGCCCAAAAATGAAACAGTGTATTATACATAAGAATGTTTTTATCAAAGAATTCAGAGAGAACTATAACAAAATCAAGTTAGAGATGAACACCATGCCCAAAACAATAAAAAACAAAGTAAAACATGACTGCAAATACAGGGAAAAGAAAGATTAGACCACAGGAAATTATATCAAAGAAACTGAAAACAAAACCAAAGGAAAAAATGATAGAAAAGGGGAGTCAATAATGGTACTGATAAGAGTTCACAATGAATACAGTAGAAATAATAAAAAGATAAGACATTTAATTCTACAATAGAAAACTTTTCCTGAAATACACTAGTCATCTTCTGGGGTCTATGGATAGGAATTAGAGTGAAAATAAAATGTTTATAAAGTTCAGAGAGGAAAAGAAGTAGTTCAAGAACTAAGTCCTAACAATGCTCTTAGGAATAAAATTAAAACAGGCATTTTCAAGAAAGCAAAATTTTAAGGACAGTGCAACTACAAATTCTTGTTGAAAAAACCAAAACACTCTATACTCTAGTCAATAATGAAATGAATATGAAGAAAGAACTCAGTATTGAAAAAGTCATGTAAAAGGATTGTTGAAATTTCTTTTAGGAATAGTAACTCTTGCAGTAAAGAAAGATTTCATTAGAGCTTGAAGTTTAATTCTTTCATTCAATTTCTTTTCTGATAATGTCAAGTAAAATTTAACTCTGGTAAATAAAAATATAAGTACAGTATGATCTTGCTTTTGTTTGCTATCTATTCATCCATTTTCCTGTGAACAGAGATGACTCAATGAGGAATCAATACTTATGTGGGGTGGTGGGATTCTGGATAATGGATTACTTTCTTTCATGTACTCTTCTATGTTGCTATATAGATAGTAGCCAAATGTCATTATTACAATAATAATAAAAAAACAAAATACTTAAAAATCAACAAGAGAGCACCTGGCTGAATGGATGGCTACCCGAAGCAATGTCTTGAAGAATTTTTGGAGAGTCTCCCAGGTGGTCATATCTGTAAGTGAGATCCACTGGGCTTCCTATAAGGGCCACTTTTAAGTCATTATGAAGCCAGCTGAAATAAAATCAATGAAGTTTTTAGAGCTAAATTACTAAGCAATTTATGGGTTTCATCAAAGTAAGTGCTCTATTTACATTACAAAATATTATAAGCAGAATAGCACTTATAGAACATTTAACCTTAACAGATAAAATTTACTGTGTATCTTTCAAAATAGGTATTACAAAAATACACAAGGTAATTCAATAAATTCACTGTGAAAAAGGTTAAGTATAACTCAACTACAAACTAATACTTTAATTTTAGAATAATGATGTTTAGTTTTTATTTTGAGATATTTGTAAAGTATTTCCCAGCTATTCATTAAGGCCATTTAAGCATAGTTTAAGAAATTAGTCTATGTCATTCATATTTATCCTCTGTGATAGGAAAGTATGGATTCTATTCTTTCAAATATAGCTACAAATGCAGAGACCTTGTATTCTGGTTTGTCTGAGACAGAGCTGGTTTTTACTTGTTATCCTAATTAACAACTCCTTTTTTCACTTTCAATTGTGTGCCAGTTAAGACAATAAATTACATGGTTAACCTATTCACAAATTTTTAAGATATAAATATAAAAAAATAGGGAGGCATTCTACATAATAGCTGGTCTGTATTCTTCAAATAAATGTCAGTAAAGAGGATTGAAGAGTTATGGCACTAATTACAACATGTAACTCCAGGCTGGATCCTGGGCAGAAAAAAAATTTTTTATGAAAGTAATTATAGGAAAATTGATGAATTCTGAATATAATCTATGAGTTAGGTAATAATACCATGTAAGTACTAAATTCTTGGATTACTGAAGAGAATATTCCATGTTCTTAGGAAATCCACACAGAAATATTTAGAGATAAAACAAAATCATATTTATAACTTATTTCCAAATGATTAAAAAAATTAACATCTGTACATAAATACAAATATATAAAGAATAAAACAAATAAGACAAATGATTTAAATGTTTGATCTGAGTGAACAGTATACAAAAATGGGTATACAAAAGCCATCTCAAGTATCTTGAATTATTTAAAAATAAAAACATAAGACATAGAGGTCCACAAAGGGAAAAGGAGGTAGAATAGATCTGTTAGCAACTGCTCTTCAATTATCTTTTGGATAAATATTATTACTAACCTCTTTCGAATTCTAGCATTAAATAGTGGTGCCTCAAAACGGGGATTTGTACCAACCAGGAGAACAACATCTGCCTCTTCTACACCAGCAATTGTAGTATTTAGAAGATAATTGGAACGTAAATCTGTGCTAGAAAAGACAAAAAAACCACAAACTTACAATATTTTTATTAAAATAACACTGCATTATAACATATAAGTTTTAGGTATCCATTGTTGTATTATGTTATATCAATATATGCTAAATTAAATTTACTGCTAAGTCCAAATTGATCCTTCACCATATTATTTGTACCCCTTTTCCAGATTTACCCACCTCCTTCCCTTTTCTCTCCTGGTAACCATTTTATAAAATTGGTCTTATAGTGCAAACTTTATTTTGGTCATCTATTTGTTTTCTCTATAAACCACACACTAGTGAAATCATATGGTATCTGTCATTCTCTATCTGTCTTATTTCCCTAAGCATAATTCCCTCTACATCCATCCGTACTGTTGCAAGCAGCAAGAATTCTTCTTTTTTTTTTTTATAGCTGAATAGTATTCCATTAGAGCCCCACTTTGGCCAACATGATCACAGACCCACTCATGTAGAAAGAAATAAGTGAGGGAGAATGATGGAAGACATGGGTTTCAGAGGATGAAGCAAGATGCATACTCATCTCCACTCAATTTAACAATATCCACTTCCTTCCCCACCCACAGCCACAGGGGATTAGAGAGGAAGGCAAGTAGGGGTGTGTGTATGTGAGAGGGTAAAGAGAGGAGAAAGTGGGGTGGAAAGGAGGCAGGGGACACCATGGCAAGTTTATTTTTAAAATTATTACGATACACTGACAATCCAAGGAATATTCTTATATCATCAAACCTATAGCTCTCAAAAACCCCCCAAAATACAAAAACCTATAGCTCTCTCAGAGAAAAAAATTTTAATGAAGTATTCTTAAATGACATCAAAGTTTCAGACACTTACTAATAATTGGATTCTCCAACAGCTCTTGGTTTGACATTGGTGATGCCAATGTTGGTAAGTTGGAGAATCCAAGTTGTCACATATAAGGTACTGATGCCACAGGTGTGGTTGGTCTATACACAACTTGTAAATAAAAGGAAAAAGGAAGCCTAGACCTAAGCTTCATATTTCTTACCCAGCTCCTGCGGTGGGGAAGACCTCTTCAGTGCATAGAGCATCAGAGTCAACTCTATTAAGCAAGTCCTTGAGAGCTACTAGAGCTTCAGCATCCACCAATCCACCTGCAATTGCTGCCACATCTTTACCTTTGAAACTCTGCAACTAGAAATGGATGAAAAGGACATCATCAAGAAACCTTGATTCAGCAAAGAACAACGAATTGTTCAGAACAACAAAATTATAATCATTTTAAAATATAAAAATAGCAACACACTTGACTAAGAAGTTTTAAACCAAGTATTAATTAACCTAAAAGTGAGAACAGAGGTATATATGGGGTAATGCTAAAAGCAACAGCTTGGGGGGTGTTTTAAATTAAGAATGAAGGGGCCTCAAAATAAGGTCTGGAGAATAAAGACTGTGAAGCTATAGCTAAATCAAATTTCTTCTGAAGAATGTTTTGTCATTTCATCTAACCTTTATATACGCTGCCTTTCTCTAACCAGTAAGCCATTTCCTCTACTTTTGCTTTGGCAAAATACTCATCCTAGACTTTGCTTAAAAAGTTACAGTATGTTAAGAAGGCATCCTTGATTCAATGCCGCCCTTAGGCACTCCTCCTATGTGAGCGCTCTCCTATCATTTCCCACACCACTACCCACAGCAACATGTAATACGTAGCAATGCATCCTTTCTACTACAACACTATGGGAGGTAGGATCACATGTAAGCAGTCTTTTATCCCTATGTCTAACATGAAATTTGACATATGTTTCTGAATAAACATTTGTTAAATGAAAAGTAATCTTGGCAAGAGGAAAAGAAATGAAACATATATCCGCAGTTTGCTACAAAAATGTCCCCTGAAAATCACAAATAAGTTATTCCATATTTTAATTTTTACCATTCCTGCTACACGGGAAAGTGCATCCTCCCAGGAAGTATAGGTTAAAAGCCCCTTTTCGTTTCTGACCATCGGCTCTGTAAGTCTTTGACGTTTTAGCCCATCATAGGCAAATCTAGATAACAGAAATTACACCATTTATAGAATCTTGCTAAAGAGGCAAGTATAAGTTTAAAATCTTAAAAAAAAAAAAATATTTAAAACACTACTGGCTAAAGTGTCAAATATTTTGTATGAAATTTGATATTTGATACTAATAATTATTCCAAGTTCTTTTTTTGAGATGAACTATTTTATGAATATCATCTCAATCTAAAAGACCAAAAAGGGTCTCCCTGGTGGCACAGGAGGTTGAGCGCCACACTGTGAAACTGTCCGCAGCCTCTGCAGCGAGGGTTTGATAGCGGCCAACCGGCCAGAATCCCACATGGCACAGCAGAACTCTCCTATCTCGCCCGCTGCTCCCCTCAACAGTGTATTTCAGTCAGTCTGCCTGTTCTGTTCCCCACTCTGTCTTTGGTGAAACCTCAAACACTCCTGTGCATCTGGCCTGTACCCTGGTTCTTGTATAAATAAATCTTTAAAACAAACAAACAAATAAATAAATAAAAGATCGGGCCACCCTGGTGGAGCAAAGGTTAAGACACAACTTATGAAGCAATCCACAGCCACTGCAGCACGAGTTCAATTCCCGGCCAGCCAGGGAGCAACCCACATGGCGCAGCAGACCTCTCCTGACTCGCCCGCTGCTCCCCTCAGCTGTGTACTTCAGTCAGTCTGCTTGTTCTATTCCCCACTCTGTCTCTGGTGAATCCTCTCACCCCCTACACCTCTGGCCTGTATCCCAGCTCTTGTATGCATAAATAAATATTTTTCTAAAAAAAAAAAAAAAAAATCAAGAAGTTTGACTTCTTATAATTTATTTTCAGCTACCTAAATGACCTTAAAATTAAAAATACAAAAACAGTCTGATAGCTAAGTAAGTCAAATCATTTTTACTAATGAAACTGAGCACCTCTTCTAGTTATTAAAATTGTGCCATGCAAATTCTAAACTTATATTTAGCTTCTTTTCTCCAATGAATAAATAACAAGAGACTAAATATCTTATTTAATTTCTCCATCCACAACAAAAAAAAGTATTTCTCAAAGTTTATGTGTTAAGTCAGCAATGTACTTATGACTATTAATGTTAATTTTGTGTAATTTTCTATATCTTTTTCAATAGTCTATAGTCATGATTTTGCAGTATGATAGTTTTTTTTAATTAAAATTGGCATAAAATTTCCTTTAAATCAATTGCAAAAAAGTTAAGGAAAATAAAATATCATATACCTGGTTTTATCAGAGATCCATTCTTCATTGATGTCTTCATGCATCCTTGGCAAAATCCTCATCACCTCTCCAGTTCTTGTGCTTACCACAATATTACTTCCAATTGCATCCATTACATCAATGGATTCTGTCTTTCTGAGAAAATAAATACAAAGAAACTCTTAAGAAAGCCTTCTTTGGAAATAAAAACAAGAATATTAACATATGTTCAAAGAGCTTAAGGAAATCATGTTTCAAGAATTAAAGGGAAGGGCCTCCCCGGTGGCGCAGCGGTTGAGCGCTGGGTTGCGAAGCTGCGCGCGGCCTCTGCGGCACCGGTTCGATCCCCGGCTGCTCCCCGGCCACCAGAGGGGGTCCCACATGGCGCGCAGACCTCTCCTGCCGCCCGCTGCTCCCCTCAGCAGCGTACTTCGGTCCTTCTGCCTGCTCTGCTCCCCGCTCTGGCTCTGGTGAATTCTCTCGCCCTCCCGCGCTTCTGACTGTACCCAGTGCATGTATAAACAAAACAAACAAACCAGCAAACAAATAAATAACGCATGCCTCTATAAAAAAAAAAAAAAAAAGAATTAAAGGGAAGACAAAAAACATATATCAACAAGCTTGTCAGTAAGGATTAAGAAATTGTGAAAAAAGAACCATACAGAAATTTTGGAGCTGAAAAGTTAACTGAAATAAAAGATTCATTAAAGGAATTCAACAGCAGATTTGAAATGACAAAGAGAAAATGAGCTTGATGATAAGTCAATAGAAATTATCTAATCCGAAGAACAAAAAGATTTAAGAAAAACAAGTGTCTGCAACCTGTGGGAACGGAACGCCAGTGTAGCAATATATGTTGGTTTTTTTGAAGATTTATTTATTTATGCATACAAGAAATGGGGTACATGCCAGAGGTGTGGCAGGGTGAGAGAATTCACCACAGACAGAGTAGGGAACAAAACAGGCAGAATGACTAAAACACACTGCTGAAGGGAGCAGAGGGCGAGCCAGGAGAGGTCTGCTGCACCATGTGGGCAGTTCCCTGGCCAGGGATTGAACTCGTGCTGCAGTGGCTGCAGGTAGCCTCATAGGTTGCGTCTTACCCCCCTGAGCCACCAGGGAGGCCCTCAATATATGTTTTATAGGAGCCTGAGGGTAGACCTTTGTACTAAAACATCTCAATTATGCACTATAATATTTCCCTCTTTTCCAAATGCTTTTGTGTACATAAATACATTGCTTAAAACATGAAATTTTAATACCCCCCTATGCTCTGGTAGGATTTAAAAATGGAAGGTAATTTTTCTAGAACCTTAAAAATACTCAAACTTGTTGAAACTACCCATTCCATTTCTTGGTTTAATCAGAAGAATCAGAGATGTATCAAGAAATTTATGACTAATGGCGTTTATCATTGGCTTGTAATAATAAAGACTAGAAAGAAACTAAAATCTAATAATAGAACTCAATAAAGTATGATATAGACACATGACTGAAAACAGAACACGTTGAGAAGAAACAACAAATTTTAAAAAAACCAAGACAGTATTACTCCTTGGAAGAATGAAATAAACTTTATGATTAAGTAGTTCAGAATTAATATCCAAGAAAAATTAGTTTGCACAGGTTCATTCTAACCTTCAACCTAACTACTTATCTTAATTAAAAGGGTTTTATTTAAAGCAAACAAATAAAAAGTTAGATCAAAACAAAACCCAGGTAGAAAATGACTCTGAAGTTTTTTGAACAGTAGGAAATTAAAAGACAAAACCCAAATTATAAAAGTTACAAAGGTAAATACCTGGTTTCCCAAGGCCGGGCAGTAAAGGCATAGGGTTTAGAGGTCAGGGCACCTACAGGGCAGATATCAATGACATTCCCAGAGAGTTCAGACATGAACATCTTCTCAATATATGTACCAACTTGCATATCATTTCCTCTGCCTGTTGTTCCTAAATCATCTACTCCTGCAATCTCACTTGCAAATCTGCAAGATAAAAATGTACAGTCAAATCCAGCAAACTATCTCCTTTCCTATGATCACAAAGAATAAAAAAAATCATTAAATGAATGTTTGCATTTAAATATATACCCCATATACAGAAAATGACACAAATTATGTCATCATAGTAAATTTTAGTGTTTGTGAATTTTGATTTTGGTTTCTTTTTTAAAAGATTTATTTTATTTATGCATACAAGAGCTAGGTTGTAGGTTAAAGGTTTTTAGGGTAAAAGAATTTACCAAAGATAGAGTGGGGAGCAGAATAGGCAGACTGACTGAAACATACTGCTGAGGGAGCAGCAGATGAGACAGAAGAGGTCTGCTGCACCATGTGGGTCAGCTCCTGGCTGGGGAGCTGCAGTAGCTACGGAGAGCTTCATAGTGCTGAGTCTTTACCCCTTGCGCCATCAGGGAGGCCCTGAACTTTGATTTTTACATCCAATTAAGCTGATATTAACTGAGTGTGAACACCACATTCATTTTATAAACTTCTGTAAAAATCATTAAAACCAAATTCCTTTTTCCCTCACCAAGTAAAAGTTGCCATCCCTTCCAAGCAATGTTATTCCATGAAATTCTGTGGACAATAAGTAAGTGTACAGTGGCACTCCAGCAGAACAGAGAAAATTACCTGATGCAGCGAGTACACTGTATACATCTAGTCATGATGGTCTTTACCAATGGTCCAATGTTCTTGTCCTCCACAGCACGTTTCCCCTCTAAAAATCGGCTTCTATCATTTCCAAACATCATGGACTGGTCCTTAAGTATATCACAAGAGTTAATGTAATGTTGCTAATGCAATTAATACTTGAGACAACAAAAATGATTCACAAAATTACACTGTATACCTGCAGATCACATTCACCTCCCTGATCACAGATAGGACAGTCGAGTGGGTGATTTGCTAATAAGAACTCCATCACTCCTTCTCTGTACGGAAAATTACATGAAATGACACAAATTGCTGACATCAAAAGTTTACATACAGACTATTTAAATAAATGTCACACACACTCTTATATAACTAGCATTAATTTTACATTAGTTATCAGAAATGCCAATATAAGTAAAATTCTAGTAATATTAAAAACACAATCTTAAAAAAAGGCTTACAAAGGTCTATAATAAAACATCATTGGAGAACTCAGAATACTTGGATTTCTTTTTAACCCCTCAACTCCAGGATACTATGACATTTCACAATACAGAATTATCCAAAGCTGTTGAATGGGTCTCAGAAAATACCTGCATTAATTCAAAACCACAACAGACATATAATCGCAGAGCAAACCAATCAATGCCAATACAGAGCAGTAGCATAACACTGTAATACTTTCAGTTCAATAAGCTCCATCCTCACTATTCATCAAAGTTGAGTATGTTACTAATTATGGGTTCTTAATGTTGATTCCAAAGGCTCAATACCATAAATCCCTGACTTCATTTCCACAACTCACTTCTACTGTTCCCTGAAGCCAAGCATGTCAACTTTCTCAGTTTGATATTGAATTTCTTATCTTTGGAAAAGTCTAAATACTGAAATGTACAGTTTTTGGCTCTAACAAGTTACTACACCAAGTAGCAATCAAGTACCTGGCTTTCTTAGACTTCTCTGAATTTGTCAGGATATTCCAACCTTTCATTACTGGCATGGCACAAGCAGCTACAACCTAGAATTTCAATGGACAAATCTGTAAGTATTTGTACTTATTTGTAATGATAAGCAACCTACAATAGAAAAAAAATTAAATTATACATTGGAAAACAAGCAAAGAACAAAGTATTTTTTAAGACTAAAATTTTGTTTTCATATGCATAATAGGATAATCTAATACTTTGTTTCTCTCAGAAACAAATAAATACCTTTCTTTTTCATCTATTCTAATAGTCAACGTAATTTGTTATAAAAGGCTCTGAAATAGAACATCAAATAACTGTGTTGTCATTAGCAGGCACTACTAAATTAAAATTGCCTAAGCCAAATGAAGTTGAAAGTGAATCACTTCTCTGCAACCCTTTCTTTAGTTAAATGTGGCATAGCTGATATGCCCCTAAAGTGCTGCTTGGCAACTCCACATCCTAGTTATGCAACACAAAGCTATCTGAAAATATTGACAAGTGTGAAAAGCCATTTTCAATTCTAAATCTAAATTATATGGCACTTGTGTTTACAAAGCACTTTCATCAATGCATTTCCAGTTTTAAAATGAAAAGAACCAATCACAGAAAAAAATATGAATTTAATAGATGGTGGTAAACAGCACTAGGTTCTCCCCTATAACATGATTCTCAATAAAATTTGCTGCAAGATTTAAAGTTTTCTACCTTCTACAGCATGGTGTAGAATTTTAGGTATCAAGTACCTTAGGAGCTTTCTCAATTTCAACAAGGCACATTCTGCAGTTTCCAGCAACAGACAATCTTTCATGATAACAGAATCTAGGGATCTGCATGCCAACCTTCTCACAGGCCTAGACAAAGTAAAAAAATATTGCATTAGAATAACTTTACATCATCCTTATCTTGCTAAAACAGAGGGGGGAAATGAAACCATCCACTCTCTAAATAATTACACCTATTAATTATCTACATTTCTATTCTCTCTTATTTCATCTGTGTCAAGATTTTCCTCATTGCTCTTGATCTCAATGTCTGTCTACATTGAAGCTGCCTCTTTAAGGATCCTTAGCATGTCCATATCTCACGTGGAAGAAACTGGATGAAGTATCCCCAGATTGTGCTGAAGGCTTGCCTTCCCATCACCACTGTATACAAATGTCCAAAAAGATTTTCCCCCTGCACCTGAACTTTCTCTTTACCTAGATCTCTTCCTTTGTATTAGAAATTCCCTTTCATACCGTTTACCTGTCTCTTATCTGGTTCTATCTTTGGATCCACATGCCTTACCAAGGATTCATACACCAACCATGGCTGAAGCTCTTTCCAGTTCCTGTTTACATAGTAAGGAGATTAGTTCTTCCTTTTTGAGACAATAAATGTATTCACATTTCCTCTAGAGTCACTTCTTCCATTCTTAGCCCTTACTTAATCAACAAAAATGAACCAAGTCGTCCTGTGTGCTAGATGCAGTGGGTATAACAGTGAGCAAAACAGACACTGTTCCAGCCTTCATACTACCTCATATTCCATTATGACGATTACATCCAAATCTTCACCTGCAGCCCTGATAATCCTCCCCCAGGTTTCCAGCTTCAGACTTCAATAGGTGTTTGCATGTGTATGTTCCACAGACAGTTAAAATTAAGTCTGTTTCTGTCCCCTACTACACAGCCCCAAGTATGTGAATAAAGCCAGAAACTCTAACAATTACTCAGCTCATCATCATTCCTAAAGGTCTATGTCTCACTCTCCCTTAAATCTGATATTCATTCCCATACCAGTGCTTTATTTTAGGACTTTTCATTTCGTACTTTAATAACATAAGATACTCTTCGCTTATCTCTCACTCCAGTCTTACTACTCTCCAAATCATTACTCTCTAAGTCCTTGTCATACTGCCTAATAGTCACCAAACTCCTTGATGGGTCAAACTATAAATTCTTTAGTAGGACATATATCATCTTTCATGACTGGATCTTCTCTACCAGAGTATCTTGATTTCCTGCTCTCTCATTTCTACATACACCTTATGGTTCACCATTACCAAACTCTCTAAAGCTTTCTTGTCCACATATAAACACCTATTTATCCCTTAAAATTATCTCAGGGATCATCTAATATGCCCCTGACATCTCTTTACACCACCTCCCCTAGCTGCCCAAATACTCTTCACTGTACCTTGAATGTACTTTTTTTTTTTTAAAGATTTATTTATTTTTATATAAGAACCGGGGTTCAGGCCAGATGTGTGGAAGGGTGAGGATTCACTGGAGACAGAGTGGGGAACAGAACAAGCAGATTGAAGAAATACACTGCTGAGGGGAGGAGCAGGCAAGACAGGAGAGGTCTGCTCGCCATGTGGGATTCTTGCCAGCCCGCCGGGATTGAACCCGCGCTGCAGAGGCTGCGGACAGCTTCACAGTGCGGCACTCAACCGCCTACGCCACCACAGAGGCCCCTGAATGTACTTTTGTTACATATTTATTGTTTAAATGTAGAAACACATATAATGACTGCTAAAATAAGTAAAAAAAAAACACTGAATTCTGTGGTAACTTGCAGATGGAATGGAACAACACTATTTCATGACAAACTTTGTTATTCCTGGGTGAATATGAAGAAATGAAATATTTAGAACATGAATTCAAGAATGTACTACTTCCATTTACCTGCTTTGAGGATACACTTGTAAGAATATTACTGAAAACAGAAAGACTACATGAGTGAAAAAATGAAGCAGGTGCACCAAAAAATGCTATCTTTTCCTCAAACTTACATATAATAACTAATACTTAGATAACTTAAAATTATTTCTTAAAGATTTTTATTTATGTATGCATATAAGCACTGGGGTATAGGACAGAGCTGCAGGGGGTGAGAGGATTCACCAGAGACAGACTGAGGAGCAGAACAGGTAGATCTATTGAAATACACTACTGAGAGGAGCCTCAGGCGAGACAGTCTGAGAGGTCTGCTGCGCCATATGGGTCAGGTTGGGGATCAAACTCAAGACGTAGTTGCTGGAGATATGCTTAATAGCACTGAAACTTAACCCCTGCACCTCCAGGGAGGCCCCTCTTTTATGAGCATTTAAAAAGAATCCTGAAAATTTTGGAGGTGAGTCGTGTAAAAGAAAAAAATTGGTATTTAAAATTAATCAGAACATACACAAAAATAAATTAGAACATATGCTTACTTGGAGGACAGTAGTTCCTGGTTCCACCATGACAGACTGACCATCAACAAATACTTCAATTAAGTTGCTAGCTGCTGTGGCAGTTGTTCGAACTGACCATGAAAAATATTGACATGAAAAATAAATAGAGTTGAATTTATTACAGCAGGGGTAATGGATTAAACAATGCTAATCAACAAGAAAATTTCCTTCATTTTACACTGTTCTCTTCTCTTTCTCTAGATACAAACTTATAAAATACTGAACTAGAAAAAGGTTTCCCATACAAAATATTTAACAAATTATGAAGGTCCACTCTTTTTTTTTTTCCAATAATATTCTGTCCACACTTTTTTTTTTTTAGATTTGTTTTATTTATTTATTTATACAAGCACTGGGTACAGTCAGAAGCGCGGGAGGGTGAGAGAATTCACCAGAGCCAGAGCGGGGAGCAGAGCAGGCAGAAGGACCAAAGCACACTGCTGAGAGGAGCAGTGGGTGGCAGGAGAGGTCTGCACGCCATGCAGGACCCTCCTCCAGTGGCCGGGGAGCAGCCGGGGATCGAACCGGCGCTGCAGAGGCTGCAGGCAGCTTCGCAAACCAGCGCTCAACCGCTGCACCACCGGGGAGGCTCCTGAAAGTCCACCCTTAGTAACAGTTTAAGTTGGAAATTTTAATACCACTAGAAATATATCTGTGGAAAGATCACTTTTCAAAAGCTGAATACCTCTTTTTGCAGTATTTTGCAAAATATTGCACAGATGGGCAATTCCTACTACTTTGTATTTCAAGGTAACTTCCTATGAACTGTTTAACATAAAGTCACATTTTGAAAGAGTCTGTTCAACTTAGGTCATTTGCTTCTATTTTTATTTTAATGCAAAATATATGTTTAGGATCTTTCAGGAAACATTCCACATGAAATTAACAAAGATAGAAAATCCAGTACCCAGAAATACAAATTAAAAGGAAAAAAACCACTCACCACATCCTTTTGATTTAGAAAAGCCAGCTAAGGCCCTTCTTACAGGTATCCTTAACATATTGCTAAGAGTAAAAGAAAGAAGAGTTATATTATTATAGGAGGGGGAAAAAAACCTGATCACAATATTTTGGGTAATATTTTAGAATTTTAACACTTCATATACAATGTCATTGAGTAGTCACAAGTCCTGATCTGTCCCCTCAAATTCTAGGGATCAGAATACCCAGTTTCAGAGTTCTCCTGCCCACCTATGACTACGCAGGTGCTTCTCTAATGTTAACATTTTAACATTTTAAAATGTTAAAAAAAAAAAAAAAAAGAGGATACCCAGGTTCAGAGAGATTAACTGATGTGCACAATGTCAAGGAGCTAAGAAGGAATGCCTAGTATATACACTTGAGCCTTCTAACTAGAAGTTAAAAGGCAATTTTGTTGTTGTGTTTGACAATCACCCAGAACTAGGTTGGGTTGTTAAATATACAGCATCTAATAAAATATTGCATAGTCCCAAGATAAGAAATAGAGATTTGTAAAACTTTGATGTGTAGTTCACATATTTATGTGTCAAGTAGGATCCAAAAGAGTCATATCAAAGATGGGAAAATGTTAATAACAATCATTTCTGAAGCTAGACTGGAAACTTTTATACTATCCAAGTTTTCCACGTATCCTGCATCCATCCTCTTCTCTTTCCGAGGTATCATCCTATTAGAAGCCATCATCACCTCGGGCCAGGTTTACTACCATATCCTGGCTTCTGAAATTCCCACAATATCCCCCTTCTTCCCCCCAGCTGTGTTCTTAGATTTTTCCTTCAGATACTTCTTGTTACTCCTGGTCCTTCAAAGTTTGACTTAAATGCCATTCCTCAGGGAGTCTTTGATGAGCTTCTCTAAAATTTCCTAACTACTCCCTAATCATTTTATTTGAATAGATTCATTTCTAGCTTATATCAGATGTTCAATAACTACTTGCAAAGTAAACTGTCTCCAATCCGTTCTACTTTCCTGGAAAGAAATGGTGCAGGTGCTTCAGTCTTATAACACCCTGCTTAACGACACGCACAAAATTCGGGGTGCAGTATGTGTGACCATTCCACAAAAACAAAAATTAACACCAAAAAACCCTGGTGTTAATTCGTCAGAAACAGTTCAAGTGACATTTTCTTTACTGCTAATTTGTTCTGGGACAGAACTGTGTCTCACCCAAGATCTTACAGTACAAGCAATTGATTCCAAACTCTTCGAAACAACTAGTTGTTATTCGCAAGTGCGACCTTGGGCGAGATTCTAAAACGTCCTTTTCCTCAGTTTCCCCATTAGTGAAAGAAATGAAAGTGCTACCCAACGCAGTCATGAGCAACCAAAAAACCAATCAGACGCCTGGACTGTTGCTAAGGCAATAGCAGACAATGATGGACAGTAACAAGGATATGATGATTTGGGAGAAATCACTCAGTCTCTACCACCTGACTCGGGTTTTCTCCAGGGGACAAAACGGTCTCCTCCTCAGACAGGAGAATGTCCTGCACCTTGCAGGGGGAAGGTCATTCACAAGCCTGCATTCGGGTCAGCACTTCCCAGGGCCTCCTGACCCTCCTTCTCCCTTCAACTCCATCAGCCCAGAGACCACGGCCTACAGTCCTCACTTGCAGGTTCTCTGGGGCTCCCGGGGTTGCGGGGTGGGACGCGGCGCCAGTCAAGGACAAGAGGAGAATGAGTTGCCGGGGCCAAAGGAAACAATCCCTTCAAGAAATAAACTCCTGTGGCCGAGGCACCTCAGCCTTCTCACCCAGACACGACCTCACCTTCTCTCCGGAGCCGCCGAAGCTGCTCTGCAGAACTGTTTGCACCTCACTGACCCCCTCAGAGGCCTGGGCGCTTATTCAATATGGCGGCCCAGACCGACTGTGTCAGGCGGACCTGGAGAACGGAAAGCCAGGAGGGACTAGAAACAGCAGATTCGACAGTTTCCTTCTTCGGTTGAGTTCGGCACTTTCCGTCACCTGCCAGAGGGCGGAACGAAAGGCGTGGCGGGTGAGAGCAGGCAGGGGAGAGGGGATCCGGCCGGTTCGAATCCGCAGTTCCGCCGGAAGTGGCGGGGCGGCCCTAAAGCCGAGCGTCTTCGGTTTTCTCCGGCGCTTCTAGGGGCGGGTCTTGTCATCTTCGGGAGCCGTAAAGCTACTAATTTAAGAAATGCCGCCTTTATTAATTTATTTTCAAACGCAAAGAAAAGTCCGCTCATAATTTATGGGCTTTTTTAGTCACGGTTTCCGGATTTTACGTTGAGGAATGAAAATTTTAACGTACTTTGACCTTTAACCTTTGGCCGGGCGCCGCGAAAGGAAACACCCCCCCCCCGCCTCCTCCCGCGCTATATAAGGAATTTTCCGGCCTTTCGCGGCCCTTTTTCCCTCTCAGCGCCGGGCGCTTACTGCCTGCGCGCAGCTTTTCCGCCGCTGCCCAACAGCTTGGATATCGGCCAACACCATGGGTTTTGGAGACTTGAAAAGTCCCGCGGGCCTCCAGGTGCTCAACGATTACCTGGCGGACAAAAGCTACATCGAGGGGTGAGTGGACGGGCTCGGGCTGGGTTCTGTCCGCGGCCACGTGGCGCGGCTGCAGCTGGAGGGAGGCGGCCAGCCCCAGGCCCTCCCGAGGGAGGGGACTGCGAGGGGAAAAAGGTTGAAATGTGCTTGCTTTCCACCTCATTGATTGAACCAGGCGCTCCGTGTCTGCTCATTGAGTAAACGCGATCCTGTAGAGCTATGTTAGCATTTGCAGTCTTATAGATCTATTAAGTGGCGAACATTCCTCGAGAAAGCCAAACAGATGGTCCCTGGTCTTCAGGAGCTTGTTACAGGAAGGGGAGAAAAAAAAACCTCACATAGCAGTTTGACCTGATAACAAGGAGATCATTCCCAACGAATTGATTTGATGGGCAGTTTATTTGCTGGCGTTTGTGGTTTTTATTTCAAGGGCGTGTGTAATTATTTTTGCATCATTGACAGGTATGTGCCCTCCCAAGCAGATGTGGCAGTATTTGAAGCAGTTTCCGGCCCACCGCCTGCCGACCTGTACCATGCCCTACGTTGGTATAACCACATCAAGTCTTTCGAAAAAGAAAAGGCAAGGTAAAATTGTCTTTGTATACAATGTTAAGAATAGGATGCCTTCTAAACAGTCAGGAAATACATGACAAGATTGGACCCGGCCTACTTCATAGTCTTGTTAGGATATTGTAAGCTAAAATTCTTTGTTACTTTAGAAGGTCAAGAGACTGAAGTCCTCCATTTTTTCACAGAACAGGTAGAACATGGACAGCACCAATTCAACTTTTCCCCACACTGCCCTGCCAATGTGCCTCCACCCTGACCTGGGGGGCCCACCTCTGGGGTGAGAGGGTGGCTCATTCATTCAGTTCTTGGCCATTCTTCTGAAACTGCCAACAAGGGTGGAAGTTTGGGGAAGTGGACTCCAGTTCACTAGGAATGGAACTGAGCATACTTAATGAAATCTCAAACAGAAACATTCATACTGAAAATAAATCATAGTGAGTATTGAATATGTCTCCCATGCTACTAATGTTTTCTGGGTGAGGAGTTAAGTATATAAACTTGGGAGTGTTACGGGGTAAATTCTTAGTAGAAAAAGGGGGTCTGGTAGTAGTGATGTAAACAAATTTTCACGAATTGTTTCAGAAGGGATATTACACTAGCCTCATTGTAGTTGAATTAAATTTTCTTTAAGTCTGCCAGGAGTGAAGAAAGCTTTGGGCAAGTATGGCCCTGCTAATGTGGAAGACACCACAGGAAGTGGAGCTACAGATAGTAAAGATGATGATGACATCGATCTTTTTGGCTCTGATGATGAAGAGGTATGACATAGATTGATGTAAGCACAGACTCTTAAACTGAATTGTCTGGATTATCATCCTGACTTTACTGTATTTACTTGCCTTTGAAAAACGTTCCACTGATCACAACATGATGAATAAAATCAAATCACCATCTTTCGGCTGAGCTCGTGATGGATTTGCTTTATTCTGATAAAGGTGGTCATTATCATGATGATTCTACCAGCTTTAAGCTGAGGAATAACCAGCTTTGTGAAATACTAAATTTTTTCTTTACAGGAAAGTGAAGAAGCTAAGAGGCTAAGAGAAGAACGTCTTGCACAGTATGAGTCAAAGAAAGCCAAAAGTAGGTTATTTCGTGATTTGTTTGTTTATTTCATAATGTGAATAAAACTTTTGAAGCTTGACACTGAAAGTAAAAAAAACTTCATAAAACTTCCACAGCTACTGGTCTGCAACTGTTTTTGTGGTAGCAGTTGTGGCATTCCTCTGTGGGAAAGAGACTGTTGCAAGATTAAATACCTCTTTCTTAGTAAAACAGAAAGTGGGCATATCTGTGACAAACAAAGATATATTCTATAGTTTGGCAGAAGAGGTGACAATCCATTACAAAACAAATGGTAATGTGTTAGGTGTCTTGCTCTAGGGTAGGGAAAAATAAAATTGAGTTTTTAAGTAATGCTATCTCTCTGTTCGATTTTAGAACCTGCACTTGTTGCCAAGTCTTCCATCTTACTAGATGTGAAACCTTGGGATGATGAGACAGATATGGCAAAACTAGAGGAGTGTGTCAGAAGCATTCAAGCGGACGGCTTGGTTTGGGGCTCGTGTAAGTTTAGTCTTTGTTTTCAAAACTGGTGTCTAGAATTCGCATATAGTTTCAACCTTTGCTAATCAATAGAACTTATTCTAAGATTTTTCTTAATGCTCATTTCAGCTAAACTAGTTCCAGTGGGTTATGGAATTAAGAAACTTCAAATACAGTGTGTGGTTGAAGACGATAAAGTTGGAACAGATATGCTGGAGGAGCAGATCACTGCTTTTGAGGACTATGTGCAGTCCATGGACGTGGCTGCTTTCAACAAGATCTAAAATCCACCATGGGTCATGACCCTTAAATAAAAATTTGAAAGACAACCTTTGGCTCTTCACTCTTAAATGGGGGCAGACAGAGGAGATGTATTTTATATCCCTTCTACTTTGAGGGAAGAAATTTATTGGATAAGTAATTAATAATCTAAATTTGGGTCAATGTTCTTTTAAAGGGGGGCAAACATTTTTTAAAGATTTATTTATGCATACAAAAGTTGGGGTATAGGCCAGAGATGCGGGGGATGAGAGGATCCACCAGAGACAGTGGGGAACAGAACAGGCAGACTAACCAAAATACACTGCTGAGGGGGAAAAGCAGGCGAGACCACAGGTCTGCTGCACCGTGTGGGTAGCTTCTTGGCTGGCTGGGATCAAACATGCTGCAGAGGCTGCTGATTCATAGTGCGTTGCTTAACCCCTTGGGCCCCTAGGGAGGTCCCCGGGCCAGACTTATTTATTGTAAGATTTTTATTTTATGTAGAAGAACTGGGATGTAGGCCAGAGGTGTGGGGGATGAGAGGATTCACCAGAGACTGAGTGGGGAGCAGAAGAGGCATGTCCACTGATACACACTGCTGAGGGGAGCAGCGGGTGAGACAGGAGAGGTCTGCACCATCAGGCTGTCAGGTTGGGCCTTTGAGGTGCTAGTGCTGAGGCTTAATTCATAGGCCACTGAGGAGGCCCAGTTAAATATAGGTAGGTTTGAAGTTGATTCATTTTGGTATAATTTTTGTGCCCATTAATGATTACAGTAATACACAGTAACACAACTTGTATTTAAAGTTTTCATATTAGCCTTGCTTTAAAAGGAAAATTGGGGAGATAGACTTAAGTTTCAAAATAAGCCTTGGTTGTAGATAATTAGCCTTGTCCGTAGGTTTATAATTTGTCAGGCCTTTGCAGTGGGTCACAAAGTTAATGAGCTGGTTTTCCTTAATAGGAAAGTTGGGGAGTACCTTATGGCATGATGAGAAATGAGTCAATACACATGTAAAGTGCTTATAAGAATATTGGACACATGGTACATAATGTCTTTGATACATGATGAAATATCTGGAGACAGGAACTAAATGTTGGGACTGAAACCATTTCTTTTCCAGTTAATAACAGCATCAAGTTGGTGGATAAATGACAAAAATCATGTAGTCATCCATCCCAGCTGAAAATACCAAAGTGAAAACGTGGAATATGCATTTTTAGTAAAGGACCCCTAACCCAGGAGAGGGAAATTAGGTCAAGGAAGAATTCTGTCACGTAGATTTTGCAAATTTAAAATACAATCTTATATACTGGTAAGGGAGAACTTGCTTTAAGTGTGAAGAATTGAGTTTTAATGGGGAGGTTATTTTGATCCCTGGCTGTGGTTCATAAACTTGACTTTGATGTGCAGATTCTGACTAGTTTGAGACTTGGATTAGGAAATGTGAACTGTAGGAGTTGGAGGAACTTCAGGAAGTCCTCATGATAGGTTTTAGGAAACCAACTTAGAGTGAAATTGAATAATGAAGCCAATTTTACCATAGACTGCTTGAGAAAAAAATGAGTTAAGTTTCTTAGGGGGTACTTACTAAACAATTTACATTCATTTTCCAATTCACTTATTCCAGTTCAGGTCACAGGTGGCTGAGCCTATCCCAACAGCTTTAGGCACAAGGCAGGAGCCACCCCTGGACAGGCCCACTTCAAAGGACACTGTCTCACATTTTCAGCTGGGATGATCTAGACACCCCAGTGAACATGTACAACTTTGGGTGGTGTGAGAAAATGAGTACCCAGAAAAAATATGTAGGCATGGGGAATGCTACAGAGACTGGCCTCAGCAAGGAGTCCATTTTTAATAATCTTAGAACAAAATATCACTATGGGTGAAGGTACTCATGATAGGTTAGTGTATTTTCTCAAATGATAGATATTCTAAACAGCTGCATCTTAATAATTTGTTTTTTGTATGTGATTATATTTCCATAGTAGTTTATAAGAGGTAATTTTGTAGAGAATTTACAGAAGTGGGGAATTGGGAATTTGTGACCTAAAGG